TTAGTTTAGAAGACACCATATTTCTATGTCTTGTATAGTTACTCTTGAAATTTTAATAATAAGTATACTTAAAATAATGAAGTCTTATTAGATAATCTAGGCCATATCTTCACCCCTTCCTTAAAAATAGTCTTAAAGTGCTTCGATGGCTTTCATTTCCCTCCTGGCATGGATACTTGAGGCTATACCGTGTTTGTTTTTCTTGTCTTTTTTTTTTTTAATCCCACAAATTAGATGTCTTAAATATATACGATCGGTATTAGTTTAGAATTACTTACATATTTGCCATTTCTTAATCTCCGTTTTAATCCCATTCTAATTCTTACAATCTTAATCTCAGAAAGTATATCCTCAAGTGAGGATCTTTCTGGAATTATCTTGATTTTGCCCTTATTTTTTCCCAATTGTATTGAGATATAATTGACATATAACACTATATCAGTTTAAGGTGTACAACATAATTTAATATATGTACATATTGCAGAATGATTATCATAATAAGTTTAGTTGACCTCTGTCACCTCAGATAGTTACAAATTGTTTTGTGATGAGCACTTTCAAGATCTACTCTCTTAGCAACTTCCAATATACAATACAATATCATTAATCATAGTCACCATGCTGTACCTTACATCCCCAGGACTTATTTATCTTATAACTAGAAGTTTGTACCTTTTAACCATCTTCATCCACCCCGCACCACCACCAACTGCCTCTAGCAACTCCCAATCTATTCGGATTCTATAAATTCATTTTTTATCTTTATCTGTGTTCTTATTTAGGAAGATAATTTTATTAGATATATAATCGTAGTAGGTTGACATTTATTCTCAGCAAATTATATCATTCCAGTCTTCTGGTTCCTATTATTGAAATTGAAAGGTCAGCTCTGAGTCTAATTATTATTTTGTAGATAATCTTGTTTTTCTTTCTACCTTTTAAGATTCTGTTTGCCTTTGGTATTCTACAATTTTACTACAGTGTATCTCTCTTTTTGCCTTTATCTATTATGAAGTTTACCAGGCTTCTCAAATATGGGGATTGTTTTCTTTCATTAATTCTTGAATATTCACTGCCAATATTTCTTTGGATATTATAGTCTCTTTCCCATTTTCTTTGTTAATTGCTTTCTGGAGCTTTCATAGATATTCATGTTCTCTTCTATGTCTCTTAATTTCTCTTTAATAATTTGCCATATTTTTATCTTTTCACATTGCATTTCTGTATAACTTATACATGTTATATTCCTGTTCACTAATTTTATCCCTACCTATATATCATATGATATTAAATTTCAGTAGTTCCATCTTTAATGTCCAGAGGTTTTATTTGGTTTTTTTTCTGATCAACCAACTAATTTTTGGTAGTCTGTTCTTACTGAAAAATACTTTCAAATAAAGCTTCATATTCTTTAAGCTTATTAAACTTATTTTGTATTCCATACCTACTATTTTCAATATCTGAAGTCTGCAGGTCTTGTTCTATTGTTTGTTGTTTCTGTTGGTTCTCACTTATGGTGGTTTATGTTCTTATGTGTTTAGTAATTTTGTATTTTGAGCATATATTTGTTGGAATGTGTCTGTGGAGATTCATTAGGGACTGGGCTAAATATGTGTTTTTTCCAGGAAGGGGTGTGCATGGTTGTATGTGGGTGTGTGTTTATGTGTGTCTGTTTCTGTGGAAAACTGCAGTCCTATGTAACTTTAAATTACAAGTCTCACATTATAGTCTTTCAGGCCACCGTTGTCATAATGGCACAGATTATATAGGCTTTTTTATTGTTTTTATTTTTTCTGTGTTTTGAGTATCACTAATAGTAAAGACAGTTTAGTGTCTGATTCTATGGGTTGCTATTTTGTTTTTGTTTTCCCAGTTTGCCTAATCTCAGAGTATAATCTTTCTCAGATTCTAACTGTAACTAGGTTATTTACTTGTCTGCAGGCAGACAACTTTAGGGAGCCATTATTCTGCTTACCACAGTGATATATTCCCTTCTTGAAATCAGTCTTCTTTTTTCCTAACTTCCTTTTCTCTTCTTTCCTCCTGTCTTTCCTTTCTCCCTTCTTTTCCTTCCTTCCATCTTAGTCAATTCATATTGCTATAATAAAAATATCATAAACTGGGTGGCTTATAAAGAACAAACATTTGTCATTGTTCTGGAGGCTGGGAAGTCCAGGATCATGTAGCTGGCAGATGCAATGTGGTGGGTGATGAGGGCCTACTTCCTAGTTCATAAATAGCACTTTCTCATTGTGTCCTTACGTGGTGGGAAGGAGACAAAGGAACTCTCTCAGTTCCTTTTATAAGGGCACTAATCCCATTCATGAAGGCTCTGCCCCCATGACCCACTCCCCTCACAGAGGCCCCATCTCCTCCGAATACCATCGCCTTGGAGGTTAGGATTTCAACCTAAGAATTTTTCAGAGGGAATTCTTGACCAAACTTCAAACTTAAAGGAAGTTCTACTAATAACAGACTCTAAACTTAGGCAAAAAATGTGTCAGGCTTACAGAATACAGTACATTTGGGACATCATTTTTCCTGTGCCATCCATTTTTGAAGTTCTTATGAACTATCTATGTCTTCTTTTACCTTTTTTAATAAAAGTCTTCACCTACCTTAACATTCTAGTAAAGAGACCTAAAGCTCGTATAGTAATCAAAGACCCTGAGAAGACTTCAGGAAGTCTTTGCAAATTTTCCTACATTTACATCAGAGCATTATAATATCTATTTCATAGCCATCAGTTAGTGATATTTGGGCACTTCTCTTCTCAGTCTTTCCTTAGTCTGTAGGCATATATTCTGGTTTTGTATTTGCTTTGCATTTCTTGCTGTAAAATCTATTCTGATTTTCATTGCTACTTTAAGCTTATTTTAAATATTGTGTTATACTTTTCTGACATTAAAGTTTTCTACTCGTTTTGCATGTTCTGAAAATTTACTCTCAATCCCGTCACCCAAGCCATTAAAAAATTAAATACTGGCTCCTGAACAGACACACATCTAGGAATCTATGACTGTGCTGAGAAAATCACTGATACGTGAGCTTTTTTTCCCTTAATACAAAGAATGACAATAGTTGCTGTGAGACTATTGTTCCTTTTTTCAGAAACTCTAATCTAAAAGACTGCCTGTACAAAACAACATATATAAGCAGTTATAGCAATTCAGTTATATATTCTATCATAATTTAATCTTTGGAGCTAAATGTTGAGTGTGAAAGCTTTCTGCAGGAGGGACCAATAAGCTGTTATGTTCTAAATAAGATTTTTTTATTGAAAAAAGTAGTATATGATCCTGATAGATAAATATATATTCTTAAAATATTTTAAAATATAGGAAAGCAAAAAGAAGAAAATAAAACATATCCTAATCTCACCAGAGATAATTGGTATATCCAAATATATTTACTTCTTTTCTAAGCTCAGAAAATGTATTTTTTTTCTATAGAGATCCATATCAATATAGTTTGTCGAACTACTTTTATCCCTTAATACGTTGTGAACATCCTTCTGATGTCATCAGTGTTGGTCTGTGTACGTATGTGAGTGTGTGAGTGGTGATGGTGACCAGTGTTGGAAGAAGGAAGGAGGCATTGCTTCACAAAGTAAATCAATCATTCCTGTTACCCTTCAAATAACAGTGTAGTCAGCCTGATTTTCTAGTTTGATAGGTTTAATAATTCCTTTCTTTATCATATACTGACCTTTTCAGTTACAATAAAAAATGTATCCAAATTGAAAATATTGAGATAATATTTGCAGAGTATTTAATCTAGTTAACATTTGAGATTCTACCATACTTATATAAAAAAATGAACTTCGCTCTAAATTCAGCTAATTTTATTTGGCTTATAACTGCTTAGTTATTAAAGCTTGTTTTATTACTAGAGGGTGTGGTGAGTGGATTCTCTAACATATTGCTGCATTTACACTGATGGTAATAAGTATGTTTATGTTTCTATAAGTGATTCCTGCTAAATAATACTTTATTATTAAGATTTTATTAAAATATGGGCAATAGGCAGTGTTTTTTCTAATTAATAATAATGAACTAAAGCTTAGTTTTTTGAAATAACTCCCAAACATATTGTAATTTTGTTAGTGGCACCAGATTTAAAAATTAATACACACAAAAATAAAAGTTCTTCTCATCATTAGACACTCACTCCTGCATACATCGTGCAGCATTTTCTTCTCATAATAACCAGAATACCAAGCCTGCGAACATGTGAAATCTTCCCTGATAAATCCTGACAGAAACTTCATTTAATTATGCTTGTTTACAGAGACCCAAGTTAAGCTTGTAGTTCTGTTTTCATATGAAGATTAGACTGCCCTTAATTGTGATCTCGCCTTCTTCAGATTAGCCAATACTGAAACAGAAGCTAGTGTTCTATCCTTGCAAAAGGTTAGAAAGTACCTTATTTATTCACAGTAGACATACCTACCAAATCCCTGAGTAGTTTGGTTTAACCTAAACTGGCACATTTCTTTTTGACAAGTTTTAGATTGATTTAAATTTTGTGTCTCTACATATGAATGTGGTCATTTTCTTTGATGCACTGATGCGATGTACACTAGCCAATAATAATTGATTTTTAAATTAAGCATGATGTTTATAGGTTGCTACAAAATTGCCAAAATACTGCCCAAATGAATTTACTTCACATAAGGTGTGAATAAAATTTTTATTTCACACTTTCTTAGAAGTTATGCATGTTTCAGTAGACAACATGGGGGAGGGCTGAGGAATGTGATCCTTTTTGACAGAGCCACATTGTACGTGGAAATAGTGGTTATATACCATTACACCTTTGAAAATACCCTGGGTTTACCAGCAATGTAATATAATACTGTTGTGCACAGCAGAAAACAAAACAGGTAAGCTAATGTGTTTTCTTTTCAAGGTTGGCTAGAAGAGACTTAAAAGTGTATAAATTATCATTCTTTGTGACTGTTCTTTAGATTTCAGATGTACTTCTTAAAACTTCTACAGGTACTTAAAACAGATGCTGAGGAACTTGTCTCCAGAAGCTATTGGGATACACTGAGACGTAACACAAGCCAAGCACTCTTTTCAGACCTCGCAGAGGTATAATTAAACCTCAACCAGGACCTTGTACTATTTTCCATTTTGTTAAACTAGTCTTCATTTCATTTTAGGATTACAACGATGAAACCAAAAATAATTTTATATTTTCCGTTTTCTTCAGTAAAGCAGTAATTTCTATATATAAATGATAGATCCAAGTATGTCTGCTACACTGGCAGGGGCTGCAAGGTTACCTATAACAGTCTGTGTTAAGTCAGCTTGCCTGTTGTAGAAAACATGACTTAACTAAGAAATATCGCTATTTTTAATTTAAGGATCACTTTCAGAAATTTGAGAATACTATTTTATAGTTTCACTGAATCTTTTAACCTTATAATTTTGCCATGTTACATGAAGTGCTGAAACTTTTAACTTGGAAAAAGACAGCTAGTGCTTTAGAGTTATGGTAGATTTAAACATTGAATTTCCAAATACTAGTTGTGTGTGTAGTTTACCAATGGTGAGTAAGGGAGGTATGGTAGGAGCAGCCAGTCAAGGAAGGGAGGAATATTTTAACTTGACATTATTTTGGATTGCCAATGCATAGAAAACTAAAAACAGACTGACTGTTATTCATTATTGTTTTTGAATTTCATAGAGACATGCACTTTTTTTTAAAGATTTTATTTATTTATTTGAGAGAGAGAATGAGAGAGAGAGAGAGAGCACATGAGAGGAGGGAGGGTCCGAGGGAGAAGCAGACTCCCTGCCGAGCAGGGAGCCCGATGTAGGACTCGATCCCGGGACTCCAGGATCATGACCTGAGCCGAAGGCAGTCGCTTAACCAACTGAGCCACCCAGGCGCCCCGAGATATGCACCTTATTGCAGCACTCGGGTGGGCTGCTCTTCCCCCCCCCCCCCCCCGCCCACTCAGCATGCCAATGTTACTAGGGATTTGTCATTTTGTTTTGGGTTTTTGTTTTGTTTTGTTTTTAGGGATTTGTCATTTTAAAAGATGGGCTATGTCTTCTACGTTAAACATGATTTCATATATCCTATTAAGGATAATTAATTATTAATTATATATATAATTAATAATTAATATCCTATTAAGGATTTTTTAAAACTTTACTATCAGTCTTAATACTGAGATATTTTTCATTATTTTTCTCTTTAAAGCTGGCTTCTCATTTCTTTTTTCTAAAATTTGACTTTTAAAAATTACACTTAAAAATATCTAGAGAAGTAAACTGAAATCAGGTGTGACTTCTGTTATCCGTACGTAGTGTTACTCAGTTGGCACCTCTAGACTGGGACAGATACTTGGAAATGTTAATTTTGTCAATCGTGTTCAATTTTAAAATCCCAAAACAAAGCATTTTGCCCTTTCTCTAATTTACTTCTGATATGTAAATATGATGTAACTATGACCAATAAATAACCTTTTAAAATTACCTTTTAAATTTGAACCATTTTTTAGTCATAAAGTGGTAATAGATGTTTCATGTAAGGTATTTTAGAAGTACTTAATTCTGTAATCATTTATGCAGGCACATAGTAGTCAATGCCTAAAAACAAGAGCAAATGGGGACATTGGCCCAAGAGTGCTTCAAGCCACCTGGGACCTAGCTTCAAACTAACAGTCATGTCACTGCTCTCTCTCCATCCTAAACTGTCCACCTCAGCCTCCAGCCTATCTTTAATCTAATTTAACTCTGCTAGAGATTCTCACAATTAGACACAATCCACTGATTTGATGTTGAATTTAATTCAGATCTTGGGAGGTTTAATATCAGAAGACCAGTTAGCTCTTACAGACACTCAGAGATTACATGGTATGCATAAGACCTTTTCGAGATGTAAACTGTCAGAGGTGTGCTTGGAGCTGGCTTTTATGGCTTCCTAGAGTTAATTCTGTACATCTCTTCCCAACTCAACATCTGTGACATCCTTTTGGTACTTGAAAGTGGCCATGATAGAAGTATTAATACCATGAAATAGGCAAACACTACAAATCAGGCTTTTTTTTTTCCCCTAAAGAGCTAGTTTACTAGCATACCATTGGCTGTAATCAATCCACATTATAATCATAAGCTACTAAATTAATTAATAAATTGATTCAAACATTATGAAAGTAAATCTGATAGAAGAAAGAAGAAAACAAAACTTACATTGTGTTCTAAAATAAAATAATTATTTGGGGATTATCTCTTACTACCCTCCCATATGAGAGAGGATAATTGAGAATTAACTTTAAGTTACAACGCATTGAAATTCTTCATAGGTTACTACTGATGCCACGGTAACATTGAATTGTTTATAAGTATTTCAGGATTCAAATTGGTTCAGAAAGAAAGCTTAGAAATCTACTTGATTTCCCTCCCCCTGCCCTTTGGATAGAGTTTGATATGATTATTATCCCATTATAATCAATAAAAATATGTTAAAGTTATCTTAAAAATCTGTAATATTTTTACATATTTTTAATTCCATGCAAATTCATTTATCTATTTTATTTTTGATGAAATCATTTAAAGTAATTTTTAATCACAACAAAGTAAGGGCCTTTCATGTAAATGGCCCATGGGGATTCTTTTGTGGCTTTTTCTTGCTTTGTTATGAAAACACCTGAATTCATTTTATTTTAACAATGGGCACAAGAATCAAAGGGATAAAGTCTCTATTTTTGTCCCAACTCCCCTGTGATTTAAGTTATATAACACTGTTAAGATACTAAGGACACTGGTATGGTTTTCAATGACTCCCAACAGTGCTCTGTTTCATTGAATGGGGGGAGAAAAGTTTTCACCATTTCCATTTTCTAATTTTTTTTCTCTAATGTCAAACTGTTACTTATGCCTCTGTGGGTCTGGATTATCTGGATAAGTGCAACCTAAGTCTAATAAGATTTTGATGATGAAAGACTGTAAACGAAGATCTGCTCTGCTCAGTGGGCATGAGAAAAGCTGGAAGAATGAGGTCATTATTGAAAACCTGTATGAAACAAAGCCACCTCATTTCACTGTGTTAGGTTTTGAGGTAACGGACATCACAGCACTAAAGGAAAACATTTCATAATTATGTTAGCTGAGTTCACTAACTTTGGGTGTTCCCGTGACCTCTCATTTGAAGGCATTTTTTTTTCAGATCTATATAACATATGTGTAGTTTCAGTTAACAAAAAAGTAAGAGTGTGCCACGTTTTTTTGCATTAAGCTTCAACATTATTATCTTTTCTGTCTTGTCTAGTCCTTTTTCAACTTCTTGAAATATATTGATTTGGCAAAAATAAATAATATTTGTTGAGCGTTTACAATATGCCAGTTATAGTGCTAAGTGATTTGCATGTGTTACCTGATCCTCACAACAACACTTTAAGGTAGGTACTGTTGTTATTACTGAGGGTAATAATATCCTCAGAGAAATTAACGTCACTGAGGTCACTTAACTAATAAGGAAAAAAGTCAGAATTCAAAGCCAGAAATCTGAGTCTTGGGCTCGTCATCTTACGTGCTCACCACCCCACTGCTTATTTGTGAAATCAGTGACTTGTCTAAGACACCATGGCCCCTCTTCTGATCAACTTTATCTCCCCACCACGTTCCAGTCCTCTAGCTTCTAGATGGATACCCCAGTTCCTAATGTTGCCTGCTGATTCGATAGAGCCTCCACTGCTGTGCCCCATTTAGGCCTGCCTTCTCAAATATTTTCTCCCCCAATTTACTGAGGCTATTCCATGGGTAATAATGGGTTAGACTTGATCATACACAATCACAACGGAATGTTTACAATTAACACGAGATATCTCCTTTTTTCCCCAAAGGTCTTAATGCTATATGCCAAAGCATCTTGTGACTGCGAATAATAACATTTGTATGCTTCATTTACACTCAGAATCTAATTTTATCTTCAAAATCATTATCGTAGATAGGTTTATGCCTATTTTACAGATAAGGAAGCTAAAGGTCAAAAAACTCTGTGAACTCAGGTCTTCTGCTTTTAAATCCTCTCCTTATAGCAGTCTGCCTCTGCAACATAAAGCTACTGGTGAAAGTAATAGTGCCTTTTGAGCACTACCCCGAATTATCCTAGTCTGTTGTCACAGGCGGAGCCCTGAAAGGCTGGCACCACTCACATTCCTCAGCATCCATTATAAGCTTGTTCAGGAAGGCATAAGATAGTATGTGGCACCTGGCTTCCGGGCTGTTATTTCCTCCCTGGCAATCAGATCTTCGAAGAAGTTGGAGATATATAGGAAACTTCTAAGTTATTCCAACTCCTGAAAATACTTGGGAGTTGTCAGCAAACTTAAACTAAGTAGAGATCTTTCAAAACAATTTTAAGGAGGTTATATGCTAGATAATATATATATGTAACCCTAAGATTACTTAGGAAAACAAGCTAAACAAACCTAAGTAAGACTACACAATTTACTAAAAGAATTTCAACAATTTTAGATAATTTAAAGTAGAAGATACCCTACATGTTGGAGGTTTTAAGAGAGACCTGAGTAGTCAAAGTAGCAAAGAGACCACTTAAAAAGAGGGATTAAAAGGCACATAGGAGGGAAAAAGACCAATCACAAGATGGACTCTTTATAACGCCAAACTAGTCATTAGAAGTTAATAATATTTGGTCTAGGGAGAAGGGAAATAAAGATCCAACAAATGGTATGAAGGATAGAACAGCTGTCTTGATGAAAAATTGGGAAGAGAGCTCTAAGGAATCAAAAGATTACCAAAAGTGTGTGGACTATGAGTAAGATGAGACTTTTCATCAGGGATCATAGGACACAACTTATCCTTCGTAGAGAAGTATATACTTTTCATTTCTTAGGTTTTCTCTGAAGCAGAATTCTGGCCAAGAAGTAACATTTCAGACATGATGTACCTTTGGATGGACATTTACAGCTACTTTTTTTTTAATACAGAAAATGTTAGTTATTATTTAACCTCATTTTTCTTACATTTCCCAGGATAATATATGGGAGAGTTAGAATCATTTGAATTTTATGATTTTTGTACCTGAGTTTATAGGATAGATATGAGTTAATGGAAGGAAAGAAGAGGAAGAAGAGAAGGGATAGAAAGGGAGGGAGAAAAAAAAAGGGAAATCTGTGTCACCACATTAAAGGAAAGGACTATTTTCATAGGCCATTAAACTTTATAAGGACTAGACTTAAGTGATTCTAAGAATACACTTGTTGGAACTTGAAGGAAAAAGTCCTCTGGAATTATTCTCTTATCCATTCAAAAATAATGTAAGACTTTTCTTTAAAAAAAATTATAGATTATGTAAATTCCAAAATAATAGTAGTATAGTTTCTCTTTCAAAATATGGTATCTTCTATTTAAAGTATCATAAATATGGAATACAATAGGAAAGTATCATGTTCAAAGGAAACTATTTTGTGAAGTGTAAGACCATTCTTTTGTCAGCCCCATATATTTCATATATCTGAAGAATTTACCTCTTTTGAACATCCTTTAAAAAAACTGGTTTTTTTAGGTTGATTAGGAAAATCCAAACTAAATGACTTAAAGATAAAACATTTGGTGATTACCAAAAGATTTCAACTATTTTAGATAATTTAAAACACAGGTATTCTGTATGCATAATTTGAGGTTGAAAACTTCCTAAAATATAGTCATCTTTAAAATTTTTTAGGATAAAGATCAATTTCAGTCATATTTCTATTTTCAAATATTGAACTTAATTTTAACTGTAATGGCATTTATTAATACAGTCTTACGCTTTTCATTCTAATGTTAACATATTCATGTTCTTGGTATTTATATGTTGATAAAATTCTTTGAGGGACATTGGGCATCCCTATTGTTTGTTTACTGCAGCTAACCTTTAAATTGTGATTTTTTAAGCGTGCTGATGACATTACAAGTTTAGTAACAGATACTACACTTCTTGTACACTTTTTTGGAAAGAAAGGAAAAGCTGAGCTCAACTTTGAAGATTTTTATAGGTGAGCTTAATTTTATATTTGTTTTGAAAAATGTTAACATGCTAAAGTCAGAAAGGTCTTTAGGAATCATCTGGTGCAGAAATACTCACCTCTTCGCTGATTTCGTCAGAGCTGAAGATACTGTCTCTAACAAACGAGTGCTTCCATCAATACCTGTAATACTAGTCATTATATTGATAAGTATAATGGGAAGTTACTGAATGATAAGAAATGCCTGGATATCTGGATTATTTCCTGTATATTACTAAGAAAGTATAAGCCACAGTGATAAGCATGGATGTAGTGTCCTCTGTAGTAAACACCAGGCACTACACAATAACTCTTTTAAGTCTCATCACTACCCTGCAAGGTCTTTTTGTTGTCCCCACTTTAAAGATGAGGAAGCCAGAGCCCTGAGAGGCTAAGTATCATCTGTTGCCATCACTCTTCATTTATCTTATTCATTCTTTCTATATTTTTGTCATAGATTCATGGATAACCTACAGACAGAAGTTCTAGAAATAGAATTCCTTTCCTACTCTAATGGGATGAACACTATCAGTGAAGAAGATTTTGCTCATATTCTTTTACGATATACAAATGTGGAAAACACATCAGTGTTTTTGGAAAATGTGCGTTACAGTATACCTGAAGAAAAGGTATCTAATCTCCCATATCTATTTTATTACATATGATATTATTTTATAATTATATAGGTCTATAGAATATATTGTTTCTTAGTTCTTTTTCTCCTCTGTGGGTTAATAGATATTTTGGATATATTTCATTCTTTTTTCCTCAGTGTCCTAGGTGCTCTGGCTAAATTTTTTTTTTTTTTTAAAGATCGATTAATGTAAAATTCTGGATAGAGATCCACGTTTTTCTTAGATATGCTGAAAACCATTAAGTTTATTAGCAGTTGTTTTATTCAAATTATGAATATCGTTTTTGAAGAGAATTCTGCTGAATACATGCTTTGACTACTACATAAACATCCCCTCCTATGAAACAGTTTATAGTGACATCATTTCAGTCACACTTTGTTCTCTAATATCCTTAATAAAAGGTCATTTGAAGACAGCCATTGATGAGTGAGTGATCTTATCAGCAAGTGAAGTGAGGTTTTTCAAAGAGTTTGGATGGCATGAATGGTTAAGAACCCTGGACAACTGATTGTCTGTTTGTTTAGCAGCAAATGTGTTGTCAGCAATTCTGAGCAGTTGCATTACCTAGTGGTATTTGAATGCATCATTGCAACTAAATAGAACTGGTGTTACAAGTACCCCTTCAAGCATGAGATGTTTTGGATATATTGCCTTCTATTTGTGTTTATAGAAGGATCAAGTTAATCTCTCCAAGAGAAACTTGCAAATAGTTTGACTTTGTTTAAAATGGATACACTGTGACAGTGCTAACAATTCGCCAGGTCCCCTAAGGAATGAGAAGAAAAGACCTGATGCATTTGGCCATTAGTTTACATAATCTCTTAGGGGACTTTTATCTGTTTTACATGATTAAACTGAATTTTTTCAATTCAGAGACACTTCCCTAAAAATAAATATTAGAAATTGTACTACTTTGTCAAGCTGCTAGGATATTATTTAGGGCCTAAATGAGTCTGCTTCTCTTTTTCTTTTATCCAATGGAAACACAGAAATCTATAACTCAAAAAGTTCAATTCCAGGGTGAAGAGTGTATGGGAACTCTTTGTACTATTTTTGCAACTATTTTTTTATCCCTAAAATTATTTGAAAATAAAGTTTTCTTTTAGGTTAAATTCAGTTTCTGAAAATGTATAATTGATAGAAGTATCTTAAGCACTACACATCATTACAGCTAAAAAAAAGGAAAATTTGGCAAATGAACCAACATCGATTCTCATGATTTTTGTTTGTTTGTTTTGGTATTACCTCATCAATCCTTAGAACCGACTTCCAGACATTGACATCTTTCTTTTAGAAAAAAGGAAGCTGAGTCTCTCAGATACTTAGACACTGGCCCGAGGAATCAAACCCACGACTGTAAGCCAGTGATAGTCCTCCAACACCCTATTTATATCTTTCCCTTCCTTTCACTTCTTATCCCCTCTCTCCAAAAAGAATAACAAGTACAGCTACTTGGATGGCACTTTACATATTCTAAAATACTTTTGAATCTAGCAGATATTAGGCATCTGCTATTTACAAGACCTTATTCTAGTTACTGTAGATAAAGCGACAAGATAAGCAAAATCCTTGTCTCCTAGAAATACCTCTTAGTGGAGACAATAAACAAGTAAACAAAAAATTAATAAGTGATATATTTTCAGATAATGATAAATATTATGAAGAGAAACAAAAATCATGGGGACTGGAAAATAATCTGGACTGTCAGGGAAACATTCTCTGATCAGGTAGCTTTTGAGGAAGGATGGTGAGGCATGACCTATGCAAAGATCTGGATGAAGAACATTCCGGGTGGAGGAGACAGCAAATACCAAGGGCTTGGAGACAGAAAAAGCTGAGACTATTTGAGAAATTGCAAAAAAAAAGGGTAAAATAAGTCAATAGGAAAATAGTAGGAGATGGGAAAGACAGATACGGGCTAGATCTTCCAGGACCCTGTAGACCAAGATAAGGGATTTACGTTTTATTCTCATGGTGGTTCGAAGGGTGACAGGAAGCTACTGTAGTATTTAAACTTTGAAGCGCAGGGGTCAGCAAACTACCTACCTCCTTTTTTGTAAAGACTGTTTTATTGGAACATAGTCACACTCATTCTTTGAAAGCACTGTCTGATTGCTTCTGTGCCTTAGTAGAGTAGGTGCAACACAGACCATATTGCCTACACAAATGAAAATATGTACCCTCTGACCTTTTATAGAAAAAGTGTGCTAACCTTGCTTTAGAACATAGGTGAATGTACATTCATCCATCAAGTATTTATGCAGCAAGTATTCACTGTCTACTGTGACACCCAAATGTGATCCGACTCATGTGCCAGGTATCGGATTCATGTTTCAAAAGATCATCATGGCCTGTATATTGAGAAGAGACTTTAGTTGGCCCACCGCTGAAAGAAAGAGACAAGTTAGAATGTTGTCACAGGAGCTCAGGGAAGAGGAGATGAGCATGGTTTGCACCAGGGTGAACGTAGAGAAAGGTGGTCAGATATTGGGTCATTTAAAGAGTAGAGTTGATCAAGCTGGCTGCTGGATTAGATTTCAATGTGAAGGAAGCAGAGGAATCAAGAATTCCTAGGGTTTGGGCCTGAACCACATAGTGAAACAGTGTTGCCATTCACTGAGCCAAGCAAGACTACAAGTTTGGGGTTAGGAAAAAATTGATAGTTTCATTTCAGACAACTTGAGTTTGAGGTTCCTATGAGGTATCTAAATGAAGAAATTACATGGGCAGTTGGATGTGCCTCTGGAATTTAGGGGTGCCATCAGGACTACTTTTGGTAATCATTAGTGTATAAATTTCCAAATTATGTCTCCAGCTTAAACGTCTCCCCTGAATTTCAGACTTTCACATTGTACCACCTACTCAGAATCTCCACTTGGGTATCCAGTAGACACCTCAGGCTTAATAGTTGCAAAATTAAAACTCCTGATCATCCCCCAAATTTCCATACACTGTATTTCCTGTTGCAGTTAATGGAAACTCTGTTTTCCCTAATTGTTCTAGCCAAAATCTTGGACTCCTTCCTTTGACATTCCACATACAATCCATCAACAGATCCTCTTGACGCTGCCTCCATCAGCAAGACCACTCTTGCCACCACCACTGCTACCACCCTTGTCACCTTCTCTCTTGCCTGAATTCTTGCAGTTGCCTCCTAAATCGTCTCTCTGCTTCCAACTTTGTCCCCCCACAATTTGCTCTCCGTGTGGCAATTAAGGAAATGATTGTTACCATGATTCAGATCTTACAAACTTCCCATTGCACTCAAAGAAAGAGCTTAAATCCTTACGGTGGCCTACAAGGCCCAACAAGCTTTTCCCTCATCTCCTCCCATCTGCCCCCTTACCCCCTGTGCTCCAGTCACACTGACAGCTTTCCTGCTTCTCAGCACCAGGCAGTCTTCTGTCTCGGGGCTTCTGTGTGGGTTCTTTTCTCTGCCCAGAATGTTCTTGTCCTGGCTGTGCATGTGGCGTACTACGTCGTTTCTCAGGGAGGCCTACCCTCCAATCTAATGGATAAATAATCACCTATTTATACCAGCAGATAAGCTGTTACGTAAGTAATAATCTATTACAAAAACTATAACCCTCTCCCTTGGCGTTCCCTAGTCCTCTTCCCTTATCTGTTTTTAGTCCATAGCATTATCATCTTCTAACATACTATATTAGAGTATAATATAATATAGGTTTAGTTTTTATTTTTCATTATTTATCTGGATAAACAATAGAACTTGTTTTTTAATTATTTGTTGTCTGTGTCCCCAAATAGAATGTAACGGTGGTAGTTTATCTTTTTTTATTCACTCCTATATCCCAGTACCTTGAACCCCTATTGAATGAATTGATAGCATTTAAAGAAGTAGAACTTACAGCTTTTCTGTTTTTGTGAATTTCACCTGCAGATATATTCACTCATGTGAAACGGCAGGTATACAAGGTTATTAGAGTGTGGTTTGTAATAGCAAAAGATTGGAAACCATCTAAATGTCTTTCAGTAAATCCGTAAATAAATTATGATGTATCAATAGAATGGAAAAGGTATTCCCAACAAAAGACAAAGAAGATTCTTTATATACTACAGTAGAATGATCTCCAAGACACAACAAGTGAGAAAGAGCACAATTTCAAACAACGTGTGCGGTATACTACCATTTACCAAGACAGCCTGTGCTAACTCTGGAAGGACCCACGTAATTAGGGACAGTGGTCCCGCCACGGAAGGGACGCGTGGCTAAGCAGCACGGGTGAGACGGAGGGAGACTTTGTACAGGCCTTTGTCCCTTTTGAATTTCGAAAGATGAATACAGTGCCATATAAAATAGTTTTTGAAAATTGTCAATGCCATGGGACCAGCTGAACTCACCTAGGAGAGAATGTAGGTAGAGACTGTAGAAGGGAAGAGGGCTTCTGCTAATCACTGTGTAATGTAAATAGTAACAAGAAAGTAGGAAAATTCATTATTAAGCTTTGAGGAAACTGTTATTCAGCAAGACTTAAGTGACTTACTTCAGGTTATTCAGCCAGTGAACTTCCAAGTTTGAATTTTCTGCTTATCCCAAAATGCTCCATTTCCCTTAGCCTTTTAAAGTTGTTTATATTTTAAAAGTTATCTAGTTGTCATTTAGATCAGTTACCTATATAGTTTGAACAATATAACTAGTAGCATACTCAGTTTATGAGATGAGCATGCATTTTGCATTGAGAACAAATGTAATTTACTCTTGAGGCTCTTGTAAGACCGTATTTTCTGAAGGGTTATTTTTATTTGGCTGATAATGTCTTCTAATGACTAAGATGGAATTTTCAAGTTCCTCTTTTTCTCATTCTAGTCTTTTGTTTCTGTTTATTTTATTGAGGTAAACATCATGTAACATAAACTGTCTTAAACTGAGCAATTCATGTGGCATTTAGTATGGACACAATAGGAACACCATCTTTATTTCCAAAACATTTCGTAACACCAAAAAGAAACCCTATTCTTATTAAGTATTTCTC